GGATGTCACAAGGGAGCAAACCTGGGATAAGAAAGTTCAAAAGATCAAAATTTTATTTTCTTCTGTCCTTCTTGCAATAATATGGGACTAACCTGTTCTAAATAAAAAGCATTAATGTGAGAGAAAAACAGGGTAGTAAGGAGGCCCTAGGCTTGTAGTTCTCATCTCCCTCTTTTTTGCTCACATTGTAGCTGGGCCTGTTCCGGTGCGAAGGGGCAGTGAGCTGCCTGGAGCCTTGGCTGGGGCCTGACTCTGCCCTGCAGCTCGCAGTGGGAGACGCACAGGGCCATGTATACTTTCTGTCCTGGGAATGAAGATGCACTACTCAGGGCAGAGGTACCATTTGTGCTGGAGGTGCAAGCCTGAAGACACTGGTGGAAACTTCCTTGATAAAATTATAAAAATAAAGTATCAAGAAATTTCAAGTACAGTCCTGCCTGAGTTCTCATGTGGATTTGGACCAACTGGGAAGAAAATGGATGTTATAATGTTTCTTTTCTGATTTAAGGTGATTTTTTACTAGAACTGCAAGAAAGTGAACCAGATCTTTAGTGGATATTCTTTGAAACTAGGCTTTAAAATTCTTGTGTCATTTGCTGGGCCAGGAAGCCCAAGATACCACTCCTTCCTGGAGGAGGAATGAAAGTGATATTGGCCAGCACTGAACTGGAGACCTCTCACTTGGTCAAGAAAAAATAAGGGAAGGAAGAATAAATCGATAGTGCCCCTAGTAAGGGCCTTTAGAAAGAGCTGGGATAGAAGTGGGAAAGCACTAGGTTCCTCTTAGAGAAACAGTCCCATCTACCAGAACTAACTGCCCAGATGAGCACTGAAAGCAGATGGAGTCTTCTGGCTTTCACAGCCTCTGCCGGAACAACAGCAGCCACATGGCTTGCAAGCATAAGTCAGTACAATCATTTGCATTTTTTTAACTATATTTTTTATTGATTTCAGAGAGGAAGGGAGAGGGAGAGAGAGATAGAAACATCAATGATGAGAGATAATCATTGATTGGCCACCTCCTGCATGCCTCACACTGGGATTGAGCCCACAACCTGGGCATGTGCCCTGACCGGAATAGAATCATGACCTCCTGATTCATAGGTTGACATTCAACCACTGAGCCACACCAGCTGGGATCATCTGCATTCTTGGAAGAGATCACAAAAATGTATCTCTTTCAAATTCAAGTTCACAAAGGTTAAAATAAGTTGAAAGGGGGAGGCTTTTACTTACAGACTTACCAGAGACTGTGATCCTCTTAAGTAAAAGTTCTAGAACCTTCTTATTTTCCTGTAATTCTGTCCTTTGGAAGAAGAAGTTACCTGAGGCTCTTTCTTTCTATGGGTGAAACAAGGGTTAAGGGTCTTCTGTGTCCAAGAATTCAAGAACTTGTATGTGATAAGCCAGGGCTATTACAGGATGTTGTCCTGGGTTATGATAGGGTTCTTTCAGAGAAATACAACTGCACTCTGGTCTAGAAATGAGATTTGGGGACTTGAGTGGGATATTTTGTTCTTATTTCACCCTGATTCCAGATTTTGCAAGGAGAAATCACCTGAGGGACTTGGCCTTATTTCTCCCCATGCCTCATGGTCTCCCTCACCCAGAGGATAAAGACACAAGGAACACCCTGTAGACATTTTTCAATTCTCTTGGTTATATACCTAGGAGTGGAATTGGTATATCATGTAGTAACTCTAACTATTTGAGGAACTGCCAAACTATTCTTCAAAGCAGCTACACCATTTTTACATTCTCATGTAATATATGAGAATTCCAATTCATCCACACCTTTACCAACTTGTTATTGTTGGTCTTTATTATTATAGTCCTCTAGTGGGTGTCAAGTGGTATCTCATTGTGGTTTTGATTTGCATTTTCTAATAAATGTTGAACATCTTTTCAGGTGCTTATTGGAATCTGTATTTCTTCCTCAAGGAAATGTCCATTCAAATCCTTGGTTTTTATTTGGATTATTTGTCTTTATCTTTGAATTGAAAGATTTTTTTCTATATTCTGGATATTAGATTCTCATCAGATTATAATTTGCAAGTATTTTCTCCCATTTTTAGGTTATCTTTTCACCTTTTTTAAAGAGGAGGACTGGCTCTTTTTCTTTTTTAAAAATTGATTTTAGAGAGGGAGGAAGAGAAACATTGATGTGAGAGAGATACATCAGTCAGTTGCCTCCTGCATGTGCCCCAACAAGGGATCAAACCCACAACCTACATATGTACCCTGACCAGGAATCGAACCTTCAATCTTCCAGTGCATAGGATAACACTCCAACTAAGCCATACTGACAGGGCATCTTTTTACTTTCTTGATAGTGTTCTTTGATGTATAAAAGTTTTGAATTATGATAAAGACTAATTTTATTTTCTTTGGTTGCTTATGCTATTAACATCATATTTCAGAGACTATTGCCTAACCAAAGTCACAAATCTATCCCTGTATTTCCTAAGAATTTTATAGACTTAGCTCTTATATTTAGATCTTTGATACATTTTGAGTTAATTTTTACATAGAGTGTGAGGTAGTATTCCAAACTGATTACTTTGCATGTGGATATCCAAGCACCATTTATTGAAAAGAATATTCTTAATAGTCCTAGCATCCTGTTGAAATCAATTGACCATAGATATATGGGTCTATTTCTGTACTCTTAATTTTATTGACCTATGTTATCTTTATGCCATTACCACACTGTCTTAAATGTAGCATTGGTAGTAAGTTTTGAAGTCAGGAAGTGTGAGTCTTCCAACTTTGTTCTTTTTCAAGATTGTTTTGGCTATTCGAGTTCCCTTTGCAATTCCATATGGACTTTAGGTTTTTCTTGTTCATTTGTGCAAAAAAGACTGTTGGAATTTTGATAGGAATTTCATTGAATCTGTAGATTGCTTTGGGGGAGTATTATCATCTTAATAATATTAAGTCTTCTCATCCATGAACAGAGTGTTTTTATTTATTTAGGTCTTAAACTTCTTTCAACAATGTACTATAGTTTACAGTGTACAAGTTTTGCACTTCTTTGGTTAAATCGATTCCTAATTATTTTTACATTTTGATGCTATTGTAAATGGAATTATTTTCTTAATTCCCTTTTCAGATTATTCATTTGTGTATAGAAATAAAATTGATTTTTGTATAGTCCATATCCTGCAACTTTGTTGAACTTATTACTTCTAATTTCTTTTTATGTGTATGTATTCTTTAGGGCTTTTTATATATATTAGATAACCTTCAAATATATAGTCTTACCTCTTCTTTTTCAATCTGGATGCCTTTTTATTCTCTTTTCCTTATCTAATTACTCTGGCTAGAATCCTGTACAACATTGAATGGAAGTGATGAGCGCAGACATTTTGGTCTTGTTCCTGATCTTAGGGCTTTCAGTCTTTCTGTGGGTTTTTCATAGATATCCTTTATTAAGTCGAAGTTCCCTTCCATTCTTAGTTTGTTGAATGCTTTTCATGAAGGGTGTTGATTTCACCAAATGCTGTTTTGCATCTAATAAGATGGTCATGTGATTTATGTCCTCCATTAGTTGATTTTCTTATGTTGAACCAACCTTGCATTCCAGTAATCTCACTTGGTCATGGTGTATAATCCATCCTTTTTATAGCTTGCTGGTTTAAACTTGTTTGTATTGTGTTTTTATATCTATATTTTTAAGGGATATTGGTCTATAGTTTGCTTTTCTTGTGATACCTACGTGTTTTAGTTTCATACTCCTTTATAGAATGTGTTGGGAAGTATTCCCTTCTCTCCTATTTTTTGGGAAAAGCATGTAATCTACTCAATTTTAACAGCAGCAGTCTTTCAGTAAGTGAATATATTTAACTATTTCCTTATCTATGGAAATTTTTGCATAGAACAATGCTACAGTGACATCACCCATGTAAACATGTACATCTGTAATTTTTACAGATTGTGTACATATTATTTTCTTTATTTTTTAGTTTTTTTAAAATGTTTTTATTGATTTTTAGAGAGGAAGGGAGAGGGATAAATAGAAACATCGATGAGAGAGAAACATCATCAATCAGCTGCCTCCTGAATGCCCCCTTCTGGGGATCAAGCCCAAAACCTGGGCATGTGCCCTGACTGGAATCAAACCAGCAACCTCTTGGTTCATGGGTTGATGCTCAACCACTGAGTCACACCTGCCAGACAGGGTGTCTACATTTTAAATTTTGATATTGATAGTCTGGTCTCTCTAAAAAGTTGTAGGCTAAAGTTTTCATTTAAATAACCTTCATTGTTACTTAAGGAACTGTGTTATGTGTGTTTATCTGTGTTGGATGTGATTACTAATAACCGGAAAGTCTTTGGATCTGACTTGGACCTTGGTACTTCTTAGATTGAACAAGATACGTGAAAACTCATTCTACTTCTCGCCTCTCCTCCCCAAGATATATATCTAGGCTTAGTGACAGTCCTCCAAAGGCTTTCTAAATTTCTGGACATCTGTTGGGTCCTAAAACACAAAGTGGTGGGAGACCTGGTGTGCAGTTGATAAACAGGGAAAAAGGCAAGTGAGAAGATCGGATTGGGAAAAAAGGACCAATTCAGACTTTGCTGCTTCTCTTCTTGTAATAATAACCAACAAATTCCAGTTTGCAGAAAAATTGAATTAAATGGCAAAAAGTAATAGCCTAAATTAGTAATATTCCTCAGTGCACAGAGCTATTCTGCTGTGAAAGAACAGGATCCCACAGGGATATAATGTACAGCATAGGGAATATAGTCAATAGTATCATAGTAACTTTGCATAGTGACAGATGGTTACTAGATTTTTTATGGTGATCACTTCATAAGGTATATGAATATTGACTAACCATGTTGTACACCTGAAACTCACATAATGTTGTATGTATGCCAGCTATACTTTAATAAAAAATTTTGAAAAAGAAAAGAAACAATCCCCAGGATCCTAGATACCTGTGAGATACAAACTATGTGCTTGCAGAAGTAAAGCCCAAAGAAGCCAGTGGTAGATTTGTACTATTTTTATTACATAAAATAAGAAAAAGTTCAAAAGTACAACATTGTTTATTTCCTTGCTTGAAGATATCTTCTCTGGTTTATTTAATATCAATGTTACCACAGCTGCAGGAAATTAAATTGAACCTTTAGAAGGTATCGCATACGGACTTGGTTGGGGTTATAGACAATAAATTCATTGTAGTTGAGGGTATAACCATCTGGATTCAAAATTCCTGTGTCATGTGCTGGTCCTAAGGGCACTGTACTCCCATTCCTGCCAAGTGGAGGAAAGCATGTCAACACTTGCCTCTGGTTCAGAAGTTGAAACAGAGAAAGTAGAGCCCTATATAGCCAAGCTCTGAGTACTTACAGAGTGACGGAGCTCGCAGGATTGGGAGCCATCTTGCCCAGTCCTTTGGTGCTGTGTTTGCCCTCAAGTAATCCTTCTGCCTCTGGGTTGGCCTCCAGTAGCTCATTACACTGACCTAGAGCTACCTGCAAAGCAAAAGATCTTTGAACGCCCACCCCCTACCAAGAATTGGATGGCTCTGAAGCCAACAGAAAAGCCCATCAGTACTTTCTTCCCCTACAGCAGAGGAGTCGAATGCAATGGAAATTGCACTTGGCTCCCCACTCAAGTTCTTTGTCATCAAACTTTTCTTTGGAAAAATAGGGATAATAAACTAGAGACCATAGATGTGTTCTTGCCCTACCTCTGATAGGAGCAGTAATCCAATATTCTTTAGGCGAGAGGCGAAGCAGTAATTGGCACTCTTGGAAGACATGTCAGCAAAGTAGATTCCTTTTCCAAACTGAAATATATAAATAAACACCAAGGTCAGCAGCTTAACGTATTGTGTTAGAAGGGAGGCTCACATCACTGACCCTGTGTTTCTATAATCTTAAACACAATAGAGACCCTTTCCCATTTCCCCTCACAGTTATGTCCCAGAGCAGCTTAGCATTGGTGAATCTCTGCTTCTAGGGAGAAAGGATAGATATATTTAGGAATTTAAATAAAGAGAGACACAGTAAAAAGTGAGCTGGGCCCTGGCCTGTATGGCTCAGTTGGTTGGAGCGTTGTCCCATACACCAAAAGGTGGCGGGTTCAATTCCCAGTCAGGGCACATATCCAGGTTGTGGGTTTGATCTCCAGTTGGGGCATGTGTGGGAGGCAACCAATCAATGTCTCTCTCTCCCTTCCTCTCTCTCAAATTAAAAAAAAAAAAAAAGTGAGCTGATTCAATGCTTGGAAAGGGCACCACTAATCATAATCTAGGAGAAAAAAGGAGTAGGACTGAGAAAATTATTGTATACTTTTCCCTTGTGACTCCTTCTAGGGTTCAATTTCTACTCACCATGTAACCTGTGATGGGAGCCTCAGGTGGGGCAATCTGAAGCCCATGGCTCAGGATTCCTACCCAGTTGCTCAGCCTGGAGCCATGCCACAGCAGCATCCTAAGGAAAAGCCACTGTTATTGTTGTCTCTGGTGCTCTCCTGCAAACAGAGGCTCTAGCATAAAGCCAACAGCTCCCTGTGCCATCCTTCCCTTAGTTCCATAACTGCACTCCAGGCAAGGGAGTATCTTCCCAAACCCAAAGCTAAACTGAGACCTGTTATGAAGGTCCTCTTTGAAGGCTTCTTTCTCACCCTCCTTCTCTACTTCAAAAACATCCAGCAAGGTCATGGTATAGTCACTGTGTGTGGGAGCATGGGTAGACTGAAGGTACTGGGAGATTATCTGTGAAAAAGAATGAAAGAAACGGCCAGTGTGGACTCTCTAATAGACCAGACTGAGCTGAGAACTTCGGGGCCTCTGGTATAAATGGAGACCTTTCTGCTCCCAAATGGTCTCACGAGGCAGTCAGAAAGAGCTCCCTACCTTCCCAAATTTCGTAAATAGAAATTCTGCCCTATACAAAAGTTTGCTCTTAACCAGATGTAGCCAGAAAACAGTGGGGTGGGGAAGGGTAGGTTTTAAAGGTATGAACATAAATGAACATTTTCTTACTTTGAACTCATAACTTTTATGGTCTAAAGGGTGCAAGGCACAATGTAGTTTTTTATAGTGTTGGTCCAATGGATGTTCTGGGCTTTGCAGCTCGGTCTTTACCAGCTTAATGGCAATTTCAATGTCTCCCAAAGCCTGACAAGATGAGATATAAAATCAATATAGGAAGAACCTGGGATAAGAGATTTAATACTTCCCAATCCACACATCTCTCACCTCTAGTAGCTGTATTTTGTCTGACAGTTCTTTCTCCGTCCGGATTAATGGAGGAGTACGGAGTCTAAGGATAGAGATATAACCCATAAGTCTCTGATCTGTGGCACATGACTAAAAATAACAGACTAAAGATAGGTCATTTAGAAAAAAAATATAAGAAACTTGGGTTTTTGGAGAGAGAGAGAGAGAGAGAGAGAGAGAGAGAGAGAGAGAGAGAGAGAGATCCGTAAAGATATTTTAACTTCCAAATATAGAGAGATATGATGTATATACTCTGAGTAGGATAAAACATATAGATTTTGACATTTGAGACAAGTTGAAATTCTTCTTTATGGGATGCTTTTCTAAAAAGAAGATATTTTAAAAAAAAGAAAAATAAAGAAAAAGAAGATATATTGCTATCAATAAGGAATACTTTGGGTATAGCCCTGTCTAGAAGCAGTAGACCACTCAGGGTTATTTCTAGTTCACAGAGCTCTATAAATCATTAGAAAGAATAAAATAAGCACAAGAATATAGAATCAACAAAGATAAAGGAATGTATATACCTAATAAAGGGTGTCCCAAAATTCACGCAAGAAGTAATTTTGATAGAAAACACAGGTTTATAATTAAAAATTGTAAATTTTTTATTGATTCATATATAGGGTTATGTATGGAATAGCATATCGGGTAAATGGCCTCCACGGCACAAAAAACTGGATTAACATGTCACTATAGCAAGCACCATTAACTGTTATTGCTTGAGCAGCCGCATTTCGGTCATGGAAAATTTCAACAAAAGAGTGCATATGTGCCAGCAAAGCTGTGGAGGCCATTTACCCAATATGCTATTCCATACATAACCCTATTCTGTATACTTTATGAATCAATAAAAAATTTACAATGTTTAATTATAAACCTGTGTTTTCTATCAAAATTACTTCTTGCGTGAATTTTGGGACACCCTTTATTTAAGTTCACAGAAATAGTGTGTGGTTATAGCCGCCTTAAAGAACAGGAAATAGGGGGTGATATGCCTGAAGGTGGTTGGATAGTTACTTGTTGGTTGGATAGTTAAACTCATTCTCACTTGAGTTGGTAACTTCCACTTGGTCAGAGAATATGGTTGTAATCGGGCCAGAAGACTGAATTCCATACTTGTAAGCTGATTAGTTAGGCTATCTATAAATCAATTTGGCTCTGTATCTATTCCAGATGATCATTTCCTTAGAAATGAAAGACTGAGTAGAAGACCAAAGTGAAATAACAGCACAGGCCTTACCCAAAGTCATGTGGGATCCTGGTGTAGAATTCATTGCATGCTTCCACAAGAGCTCGTCCTTGTTGGCCAGCCCGAATACAGTCCTCAATCTTCTTAAGAGACTGGTAACCTGCCTTGATTTGTGCCACTGTCAGCTTCCCTGCAGACCCAGCAAGAGATGAGACTCCACAACTAAAGTCCTATCCTGTAAACTACATTTATGCCCTGTCCAACAGACTCGCACCTTTCAATTTTCAAAATAGACCCTCCTCCCTCCACACAGCTCCTCACCCCAAATCTCTTTTTCTTCATTCATATCAGCAAGCTTTCAATCTTGATAGTGATGAAAGAACTCGGTAAAGGAACTAGGAAATATGGAGAGAATGTAGGATAGAACCTGAAGTCCTACCAAGCGGGGCTTTCTTGGTGTCATATTTCATTTCTATCATCATCTCTTCCATGGCCTGGACATTACAGATCAACTTTATCAGCTCTTGTACACGAAGATCTAGCTGTGACTCCGGTTTCAAGGGGGATTTAAGAGATTCCTCTTTTTTTGTTTCCTCTTCATTCTATAGCCAAAATAGAAATAATAAAATCTAAAAGGATCTATTTTAAGCTCTCTGCAAGCACTGGCTGTACAATATTCCTGGCAGGTGACCACCTGCCTCTGTTTTTAACACAGGCCCATGCCATTATTACCTAGGTAGAGTACTCAATATGACTTCCACCTTCTAGTCCTACTCTGCCTCCCATAGGTAAACACTCAGAAAAAGCCTCAAATACAATATAATATCATTCAGTATGTAGAGACAGCTATTTTGTCTTAAATCTTCTCATCTTAAGACTAAGATTTCTCCAGGACAGCTTTCAACATCTTGGTTGCACTCCAGTTTCTCTGAATTGTTAGTACTGTGGTATAGAGGGGAGGGGGGGGCAACAGTAGGTTTACAGTTGTGAATATGTGAAAGTTTAAAGTTTATTCTTGTATTATTGTTTATTAATTATTGTACAGTAGGTCCTCGGGTTACTTCGGAGATCCGTTCCTACAGCAAGACGTAATGCGATTTTCGCCATAAGTCGGAACCCACCTACTTAAGCACCTACGTCACTCACATGGAGCACATTACACAGCAGTAAAGAAGTGAAACAGTAAAAAAAATTTAAAATTTAAAAGAAAGATAATTCCTTGTGGTAAATAATAATTACTTGTGGTAAATAATAAAAAACATAAAGCACATATGTACATATGTCAAAATGACAGAATTTTTTTAAAAATAAATACTGTAAATGGGAGATGGCGACGTAACCACAAAATGATGTACGTCGAGTCCGACATAACCCAAGGACTGCCTGTATTATTTTCCATGCAAACAACTGTAAACCTACTTTTGCTCCATCCTGTAAAACCAGAAGTAAAGACAACTTTAAATGTAGTGTTTTCCATTTGACTATTAATTACTCCTCTCTTGATTTGTAACATTAAACTTCTGGAAACAGGACCTAAGATTTTATAGGAACCTTAGTCAATAACAGAGACTAGGAAAAAAAGCACATTTATCCTCATTCTACAATCCCTTGAAGATTACAAAGATGAGTGAAGGTAACTCATGAGGGAACTGTAATCTGTTCTTGGGTAGGAAATAGCAAGACTCAGGATACTTTGGCCCATTCTGACCTATGACCTGATCTAAGTCATTCTGTTAGACTTCAGCCTGGTTAAGAGGAAACAGTTTCCCCCCTAAACATGCAGTCAGTTTACCTGAGTATTGGTGGTATAGTCCATTTGTACCATATCATATTTTCCAGGCACCTTCTTAAACTTCTCACGATCCTCCCAATTGTTTTTTGTTTTGTCAAGGAATCTGTAGAGTCCAAGGTGGTGAGAAAAAATCTTACAAATAAGGGTCTATTAGTAGGGATGGGCTTACAATTGTTTCCTTAGAATATCTCCAAACTTTATTTCCCACAACAGAGCTTTCTTACACATCAACTTCCCATAAATCTGGATTCTAAATTAGAGCCCTGAATAAACAGTAAGGTTCTGGGTATAAAGGGAACAAAAAAATGGGGGGAAATGGACCTTTGGTCTTCCCAAAGCCTCCGGAACACCACACAAGCCATTGGAAGTTTAAGACAAAAAGATCCCTATCCAACCCCTTCCTCTGAAGGAAACATTTCTAGAGACTCCAGAAAAGTTCTTCATCCATCCATAGGAAAAGTATTTTTTTAAGCTCTAGCTACATATTCTCATCCCACTTTCTCCAAATTTCCTAAGTTGTTGATCATGTGCTAAATTATATTAGATCTTCTATTTTAGTCAATTTCAAGGTTCCAGGTGATGTAATCACTAACTAAGGATGCAGTTTGGTGTTCTAGTCACAGCATGTTATAGTGGAAAGACATTAACATTTAGGCCAAATCACATTTATAAAATTCTTAAAGAAGATACATTCAAGAAGAAGGGTATATTTTTACACTCATTTCTTAGTACTCACTTCTTCTGAAAGACTTCCTTGGCCTTGCTGAGGTCCCCTGAACAAGCCACCAAGCTGTGCTGACCCACTTTCCCAACTGCAAAGTAAATGCCACATATAAGGTCGGAAACCTAACCCAAGAAGAGGTCTCTAATAGTAACAAGCCATTGTTTAAGGTCTGGTTAGCTTCCAACTAATGGACAGGAAAAAGTGAAAGGGCTTAGGGAATATATCCTGTTGCTATTAGTTACCTCCTACTAACTGCCATAGTTCATGAGCAGCACTAGGAGAGTTCTGTCTCTCAACAGGCTGCTCGTAGTTTTTCCAATGAGAACTTCCTACTGAAAATGCTTGCCACTGCGCAATTACAGAAAGCACAATACGACTCCTAAGCCCCGCCCCTAGTTACAGAGCCTCCCTTCCACCAATTTAAGCTTAGAGGATCCTTGGCCACTCACTGAGTTGCTTCTGGCTTTCTAAATGACAACTCAGAAAATGCATAAGTCATTACCTCGGCCCCATCTCATCCAAACACTGAAGTTCCTCTGAGCATCATCTTCTAACAGCTGAATCAGATAGTACTTGTTGTTGTTGAACTGGAGATTGGTCTATGATGAGTGAGACAAATAGAAACATAAAATAACAGGCTTGCAAATAGAAGAAGCATAAACCAGTGACTCTTCCTTGGTCAGAGGTGCCAGTAATTGCCATAAGGAAAAGAACAGCATGAGCAAGGCAATCAGATTCTTGTAAGAGTGAAGATTTAAGGAAGGATTAGGTTCTACATTAAACTTTGAATTTCTAGGAATTAAAAATGGAGCCTGGAAGCTTCCTCAAACTTTCTACCCTGTAGGGCGTGGCTATAGGGTTAAGCCTCGGATTGACCTGCTGGCAAAGCCACAAACAAGTCCCAGCTTAGAGGGCACAGTCCTCTTAGCATAATTAGGCTTGACCTTATGAGCTCCCTGTATCTTATCTAGGAAGCTAATGGGCTGAGGGAGAAGTAGCAAGTGCTGCCAAAACAAGTGAAACTCACAAGAACATGTAACTATGGTGACCACTACCTTGTTTACCTCTGGCTATAAAGTAAAGGCTCAGCTTGCCTCTGGATCTCTCTGTGTGACCTCAGCCAGGCACAGGAAGATCCACCTAGACCCAGCTTATTCTCTTTGTCTGTCATTTCTTCATCCTTCACCACCCTCACTCAGGCTTTCGAACCCTTGGCTGAGCTGGCTCGGCACACTACCCAATCTCAAATGTGTTTTCCAGCTCCCAATCCATTCTCAATGATTATTTTTCAAATGAAGACCATTTTGATGCCTCAAAGATCCATAACTATTATGCTTATTTGTTTAGACAATTTACTGTTTAATAGCTTTAACTAAGGTTTGTTTTGTCAACTGCAGCGATTTGACAGTGAGCTGAGAGCAGGACAGTGTTAGGAAGGGAGAGAGGACAGGCAGAAACCACTGCCACATCAGTCCCCGGCATGACTTGGAGACATTCTGAGAGAATGTGACTAGAATCTTAGAAGAGGTATACGGTAAGCAACTTACTCAGAGTGAAGGGAGGGAGGAGACCATGATGAGGAATAGTAGCTTGTGTGATAAGGTTGAGTCCTGGTTATCCAGGCACTCCTTTTATTAAGTGTCTGCCCCTTCCTATCTTATACTTAATTCACACTGTAAAGTCATAGGATGTTAGAACAAAAAGGAGCTGTAAGATGCTCATATTTCATGTAAAAGAAGTAGTAACAAAGGACTACTAGGTAGCTGTTAAAATTATATGTGATGGGTTTATAAGTTCAAATATGAAGATACATAATTAGGATATATATTTTAACCAGGCAAATGTATTATCTATTCAAAACAACAAAAATAAACAAAGAGGAAAAGGTTAATAAGAAAAAAAATTCATAAATTTAACATAAAAATGTAAACTTCAATAAGGGCAAAAAGTATACCAGAAAGAAAATCAAAAGGCAAATGACAAATTTGAAAAACATACAGGCAATTTATACTACAGACCAGTGATTTTCAAATGGTGTGCCTCAAAAATTTTTAAAACATGCAATACTTGACTATGTAGTCAGGGGCACTGCTTTTCCCTTTGATTGCCAAATAAAACAATGACAACAGCCAACACAATAGCTGTCCTATGTGAATGAATCAAATTAATACCTATTTCTTTTGTCAGGTGGACAAAAAATTTATTTTTTGGTGTGCCACTGAATTTTAGTAATTAGTTTATGTGCTAGGAGGTTAAAAGATTGAAAATCGCTGTTATAGATGAAACACTATTCTCATATTATATAAAGTTCCTCGTAGCCAGTAAGAAAAAGACCAACAACCTGTCGGGAATGTGCAAAATGATATGAACAGAGTTTATAGGTTCAATAGAAGACAAGAAATCTGCAAAAAACTCTGCTTGTTATCAAGGACTCCGCTATCAGGTAGACTTTACTACAGAGCATGTGTCTAACATAAGGGACTCCAGAATTAATGATCTGGGCATTGGAACACTGTCATCAATAACTGTCAAGAAGAAATTCTGCCGAAACCGGTTTGGCTCAGTGGATAGAGCATCGGCCTGTGGACTGAGGGGTCCCGGGTTCGATTCCGGTCGGGAGCATGTGCCTGGGTTGCGGGCACATCCCCACTGGGGGATGTGCAGGAGGCAGCTGATCGATGTTTCTCTCTCATCGATGTTTCTGACTCTCTATCTCTCTCCCTTCCTCTCTGTGAAAAATTAATAAAATATATTAAAAAAAAAAAAAAGAAATTCCCATAAATAGAATGGCTTCTCCCCTTACCTGATTTAACATGACATCATACACATCATTCCCTTCACAGTAGATATGGGCCTAGAGAGAAAAGAAAAAAACTGACATTTGTATAGTCTTGATGAGATCCTAACTGAGGCCTTATGCCTCAAGGGGTCATTCTCCAGCACTACCAACATCCATCTTCCAGGGAAAGAAATGCAAAAGTATCTTCTTTCACACATAAGCTGTCATTCCTATAATAAAAACCGGGGTGGCTCAGTGGTTGAGGGTCGATCCATGAACCAAGAGGCCACTTATTCAATTCCCAGTCAGGGCACATGCCCAGGGTTGCATGCTCGATCCCCCGCAGATCCCCAGTAGGGGGTATGAAGGAGGTAGCTGATTGATGTTTCTCTCTCTATCCCTCTCCCCTCCTCTCTAAAATCAATAAAAACATATTTTAAAAACAAACAAACAAACAAACATGATGCCTTTCTATAATTACAGAAATACAATACAAATGATTCTCAGTTAAAGGAAACCATTCTCATGCCATCCCAGGGCATAGTTTCTCATTTTTCCCCTTGATAATGATAGAATTTCTAACTGAAACTAGAGAATGATGTATGGAAAGCTGATGACAGCCCCATAAGTTAACCAGGTTAGAAACACCCTGATTATTAATCCTTAACACCACCACTGCCATCATTTAGCCTTGCAGAAAATGAATCACTAGTAATATTTTGGCGAGGATTCGTGAAATAAATACTAGCAATGTTCTAGTGAGAATCCCAACAACAATAGAACACTGCTCTCTGAGAAATGAATGGATTGAGGAGTCTCTCACCTTCCCCACCTTTAGGGTGCACTCTGGGTCCACGGGAGCTTTGCCCTTTAACAGCAAGGTCTTCACAGACTCTGAGGAAAGACAGGCATCTACTATGTCTACTTGTATGGGAATCAAACTGGTTAGAAAGAAACTTGTCATAATTAACTTTGCCCTTCCCAGGCAGTCCTGATCTGCTCAAGCCTCAATCTGTTTCAAATCATGAAACTGAAGGTTCCAAGAAAATGGTAAACCCAGAAGATAGAAAGTTACTGTGCCTTGGAGAAGTGAGAGTTGAAAGAACAGAATATCCTCCACGTTTACCCATCCCAGAGACCTTCTTGCTGGCCCATGTCCTCCCTGGCCTACCACAGGAGGCTGACCTTGCTTGTCTTCTGTTCTGTCCTTATCAGCCTTTCCTCCAGGCACAGGCTCTTTTTTCACCTCCTGCCTCTGGCATCTTCGAGTTTTCTTGGCAGGAGGAGAGTCTTCTGTATTGTCGGTTTCATTTGATGCTTTAGAAGCTAAGGGCAAGAATGGGCAAAGAAGCAAAACAAAGAATGAGTGTACAGTGAATATAATCCTACTTTGAAAAAGCACCGCCTTTTTAAGGAAATGGTTTAGGATGGTTTTGTAAGGTTACAAAGAAACAATAACAACTGTTGATAATAGTCTGAGTAATCGCTTCTGAGATTGCTATTCTGGCCAAATAAAAAAGTAAAATAAAGTAAAAGGCTCTTTGCAGCTGCAGCGGAGCTGCATCCTGCCCACTCCTGCTCCTTATCACTATTCGCTCTAACCAAGGAACAAGTCAGTCAGGAAACCCCAGCGCAGCCGTGGCTTTTAAAGATTCCAGAAAGACACCCGTGGAACCAGAGGTGGCTGTGATTCACCGAATTAGAATTACTCTCTAGCCCCAAGGTAACGTCTTTGGAGCAGGTGTGTGCTGACTTGATCAGAAGTGCAAAGGAAAAGAATCTCAAAGTGAAAGGACCAGCGGAGACGCCTACCAAAACTCTGAGAATCACAAGAAAAACTCCCTGTGGCAGGGTTCTAAGATTGGGATGGTTTCAGGTGAGGACCCACAGGGGACTCACGGACTTGCACAGCCCTTCTGAGATTGTTGAGCAGATTACTGCCTTCAGTATTGAAGCAGGAGTCATTGAGCTGTTGCAGATGCTTAAATCAACCTTTTAAATAATTGACTAGTAGTTGTTAAAAAAAAAAAAAAAAAGTACAAGGGAGCCATGGGACTCTTGTGAGTTCATAGGCTGAGGCATGAGTCTCATAGCTTATCTGTTCTGTTTACTTGTGCCCACCCCCGCTACCTATCACTAAAATACCTGTGGTGGAATGAGATAACGTTTAGTAAAGCGCTTTGGAGTCTGTGTGAGCTTAGAGCCCCGCTCTGACTCTTAGCTGCGGAACCTTGCAGAAGTTATCTCATCAGTTGCCCCAACTGTAAAATCCACAGGATGACAATAATACCGCATCTGTTGGACGGGACTATGCATTTGATATGTAACACAGAGAATAAAGATCTCAGCAATTCCAAGACTTGCACTTTACCAATTCTGCAACCCGGATGCATCTCACCATGGATGACACATGAACCATGAATCATGTTTTAACTGGAAGCGTTTTTCCCTTCTTACTGTTACATAAAATAATGATGCATCTTACAATTAAATTTGTTTTGATTGGATGACATTAGACGCATATACACTAGAGCTGGCACTTTGTTAGGTCCACAATTCTATAATTGAAAAGCTCTGAAAACCGAAATCTTGTAAGTTTACTACCAAAACTAGTTTGGCAGCCAAGGGCGGGACAGGGGGCGACGGATGGGGGAGGGGCTGGAGTAGGAGGCGCCGTTCTGTTCCCGACTTCCCGCCCCCCAGCATTCCGCCCCCCAACAATGATCTCCGAACCTGACGGCCGACTGCGCCGGCCGCTGGTCCCCATCAGCCGCCGCCGCGCCGCCATCGAGCCTGACTGTTGGACGTCACCTGCCCTCTCCCAGGATTCGCTTGGCTGGAGTCAAAAGGCGGGAACACGCAGCGCGAGCGCGCGTCCAGGAGAGAAGTTGCCCGCAGGGACGGAGGAGGCACGCCCGTCAAATTTGCATGTCGCTATGCGTTGTGGGAAGTCACCCTAACCGGTAAAGGATTATACATAAGGGGGCCTTATATACCCGCCGTGTGGAGAGCCTTTTTCCAGGGCGGAGGGAAGCTCATTGGTGGGGCTACGCGCTGAGTGCACCTTGTCACTCTATCCCATGTCCCCTGGGAAGGTCTGAGACTAGGGCCAAGCGCGGCCCTAACAGGGCCCTCCCTGAGCTGCGGGGAGGTGAGTTCCCAGAGAACGGGTCTCCGCGCGAGGGCAGACTGGGCAGGAGATGCCACGGACCCCGCCCTCGGGAGGGGCCTGGCGGATGCCTCCTCAAGCGGAGCTTGGAACAGACTCACGGCCAGCAAAGTGAGTTCAATGGCTGAGGTGAGGCACTCCGCAAGGGGGCCTCATAACCCAATTCAGACTACTCTCCCCCCGTCCTCTTTTCCTGCAGAGGGCTTATATGCTTAGATTTTTAGAAGCTTAGATTTTAGAATGGTATTTGGTGACATTTTAGGTCAGGGACTCCTCAGTGTTTGGGTGGAGCTTTCTTTGTGTACTAGACGCCGAGCTAAGTGCTTTACTTCGCATGCACAAATTCACTTAATCCTCATGAGGATAACAGCTAGAGTATTTAATGCTTACTATATTAATTCTCACAACACCCTATAGCGTAGGTATTATCCTCATTTTACATCTGTGAAAACTGATCTTTAGAGAAATTTCAGTGACTAATTAAATGTTATGCAGTGTATTTGCATAAATAAGTGGGTGGCTGTCATACATAAGTGGGTGGCTCAAACAACAGAAATATGCCGTCTCACTTGCCTTTACCTAGAAAGAAATCCAAGATAAAGGTGTCGGCAGAGTTTTTTTTCAAGATCTCTTTCGTTGGATGGTAGATGGCTTTCTTCTTCCTGTATTTTCCCGTGCATGGTCTTCCCTTTGTGTGTGTCTGTGTCCTAGTCTCCTCTTTTTATAAGGACACTAGTGATATTGGATTAGGGCCCGCTTACATGACCTATTGCACTTTAATTACTTCTTTAAAGTCATTGCCTCCAAATACAGTCTTATTCGGAGGTACTGGGAGTTAAAACTTCACCATATGCATGGGGGAGGGCGGGCAGGTGGTGCACAATGAAGGCCATAACAGAGTGATTGATAATTTTCTTAGGTTTTATTTAGACAATGCAAGAAAACAGGAAAATAACATATTTGACTATTCTTAAAGAAGAAAATTAAAGAATTTGAGACAAAGCCCAAAGGAAAGCTGCGGAGTGTTTAAAAGTTGAATGAAATGTGCTTAACATATAAAGAGCTGTCTCAAAGTCATAAGAAAAATCAAAACCTCTGTAGATAAGTGGACAAAAGGTATAAATAAACAGTTTGTATTCTAAGCAAGCACATGGAAAAAATGTTCAGACTCACATGGGATAAAAATGCAAATTCATATTCCACAGAGCAACTGACCTACTCTCTTCAATAAGTTATTGTAATGAGAAAAAAACAAAAAGGTAGGCACTTTTTTAGATTAAAACAGATGTTTGAGTATAGCAACCAAATGCAGCGTTAGATACTGGGTGCTGGTTTAAACAAGCCAGCAATAACAGACCTTTGAGGATATGTAGGTATGGACTGAGTATTAGATGACTTTAGGGAATTACTTATTAGATGTGATAATGGTATTATAGTTAGGATTTAAAAATGCATGTGTGGCTCTGTGGTTGAGCATCCACCCATGAACCAGGAGGTCATGGTTCGATTCCAGTTGGGGCACAGGCCCTGGTTGCAGGCTGATCCCCAGTGGAGGGCATGTGGAAGGCAGCCGATCAATTATTCTCTCTCATCATTGATGTTTCTATCTCTTCCTCTCCCTTCCTCTCTCTGAAATCAATAAAAACATTTAAAAAAAAAATGCATGCTATAGTATTTAGGGATAAAATGTCATTATATCTGGAATTTGCTTTAAAATACTTCAGTCAAAATGATCAGATAGGGCAAAATACAAATAATTGTTAAATTTAGGTAATAGGCCTATAGATATTCATTATATTCTTTTTCCTGTTTTTCTGTATGCTTATAATAGTCATAATAAACTTTAAAATACAACAAAAATGACAAATTAATCAAAATAAGTATAACTAAAGAGAATTAACTGTGCCAATGAAGACTTTTTATCCTAATAAGTGTTTGTTTTAAGTGGTATCACTGATTTTGATGTGGTATTCCTAAGATTTATTTAAATTTCTCTTTTATCTGTATTCTAGAGCAACATATTAAAATGACAGGAAAATTGATGGATGACTACCTGCCATGACCTGCCCAGTTAGGAGCTTGATCAGACCACCCTGTGTGGTCACTTTTGGTCACTGAGCTTATCAGGCCTGCCTTGTGGCCCCATGAGCTTGTCAGGATTATTGTATAGCTCCCTTTTCATTCACAATTTTTAGAGTGAAAATGTGAGTTTTACTGCTTAGCCTTGTAATTATTATATTCCTATGTTTTTAAGGAGCTTAAATCATTAGAAAAAGTGCAATATTTTAAATTTGTGATTGTAATTAATTATTTAAAATGTTTGAGTGTTTGTATTTTATAAAGCACATTAAAACAAGATACCATTTCCATGGATTTACCAGCACTACTCATATTGTTGTGGTGTCATATATTGGGTAATATATAATTAAGCATTTATCAGGTCCTAGTTTCAGCCAGGCCTGTAGAATAAATAGGCTGTCTTTGATCACACAGTTATAGTACAGAGAGTATTATTTAACAAACAGTACAATCAGCATAGGAGGCTATGCAGTCAGTTCCGGAGCCCAAAAGGACAAAGTTATGCTCTGCAAGCAACCTCAGAGCTCAAGCTGCAAAAATCCAAATTTTGGGCCACAATTTATGATACTGGTATTAAAGCTCTTACAAGTCCTCAATATGTATTACTGGCACCATGCTACAGAGGAGAAAATTGAGTCTCAGAGATTTTTAAGGAATTTATTCCAGACTGTGCAGCTAGAAAGTATCCTGGAATATCTGTGCACAGCACCTTGAAATAGAGGTTTTCCTTTGCTACTATAAGGTAGAAAAAAGTTTTCCTCATCCCCTTAGGGGCCCCTGGCTAGGCTTAAAAATTAAACTGACAGAGACAGATTAACAGGAGAAAAGCATACAAATTTTATTGAATTTTTACATGGACTTGGGAGACATCACAAGAGAATGAAGATCCAAAGAAGTGTCTAGAACAGGAAACTTTTATACCTTTTTTCTAGACAATGATAAGTTTGTAAAGAATTGACAAGTCAGCCAGTGTCAATTTGGCTCAGTGGATAGAGTATAGGCCTGCGGACCAAAGGGTCCCGGGTTTGATTCCGGTCAAGGGCACATACCTTGGTTGCAGGCTTCTCCCCGCCCCCGCCCTGGCCAGGGTTTGTGCAAGAGGCAACCAATCGATGTGTTTCTCTCACATTGATGTTTCTCTCTGTCTTTCCCTCTCTCTTCTACTCTCTCTAAAACCAATGGAAAAATAGCCTCGCAGGAGGATTTAAAATAATAATAATTTTAAAAAAAGAATTGACGAGTCAAAGGTGTAGGAGCTAGGGGTAGTAAATGGTGAAAAAGTAACTAGAAAGGAAAGGGTTAGTTTAGCAAGGTTTGCTTATACAGCTAAATTTTACTTCAAAGCCTAGGCCTTTAACCACCCATGTTTTAACTACTAAGCGTGTTAACTTAAATGTTATCCGGAAGGTAAGTTCTAAGGTGAACAGATTTAGACTGTTTATAATGCAACCATGCATAAATTAACCATGTTGACGTCACAAAGGATAGGAAATTATCCTAAGTAGGGATGGGGAACTTCTGGCCTGTGAGTCGCGTAAAGCCCCCTGAAATCATTTGGCCTGCCCTGCCAAGGCATTAGGGGTGAGCTAATGAAATGTTTGACCAAATATAGCAGGTTCATTTTTAAGGTGGTAATTTTGTATGGCCCACGAATGATGTTATAAATATCCACGTGGTCCTTGGCAGAAAAAAGGTTCCCCACCCCTGATTCTAAAGGAATGAAAATTGATTGCAGTAGGCCCATCTAAACAAGAATATTTATTAGTAGCCTGAATTAGCCCGTGTTTGCTTGTGCTACCTACATTAACTCAAAAGGAAACTTGGTTTAAAAAGTTCACCCTAAAACAATTAAGGTAGCATTATTGGTCCATTAAGAGATAAGTTGGTGAAGGAGGGGTTTGTGTTATTTTAGTACCTTTTAAGGTAGAAGAGGAGGGCATCGGCCTTTAACTCATTAGCCAATCAGGTTCTGAGGCCCCTTCTTAAAGCCACTTCCTGTCTCTCCACTTTCTCTCTCTCCTGTTGGTGATAGACTGGTAAGTGTGCTCTTAATTTTGTCCCCTAATTGTTTTGAATATCTGTTCCATTTGGGCCATGTTTCCTGGTGGCGGGCCTTTATTTCAAGACAGAATTGGAGTATGTGTGTGTGTGAGGCATAAGGCGATTCAGCTGGGCTGTGGCGATGGGAGGAAGGCAGTGAAATGCTCTGCCTGGCTTGTTTCCACGTGGGCTTCTGCAGTCCTGGGTCTGTCTTCCTGCCCGAGACTGGTGACCTAGGAACAATAGACTTGGCTTTATGCACACAGTGCATGTGTTCCTGGAAAACACCTGGGTTCATTTTACCTGAAGAAAAAGGTGTTGCTATTAGCCTAGTGCTGGTTTGAATGTTATCTCCCTGGCTGAGAGGGTAGGTCTTGGGAGGAGTTCAGGCCAGTACATTTTAATTTTTCTGTGTCTGCGGGGCCCGGGTCCTTACTGGGTTTGTGGGAGCTGCAGCGGATGTTGTCTTTGCCCAGAGCCTTCCAGTTTTCTTAGTGAGACTAAGCAGCAAACTCTGAAGTCAGATGACTCTAAGAGAGCTCCCAATTTTAAAGTCCTCACGGTGGTGAGGGTGCCCTAAAAAGCTTAGGATATACTAAAAAAGATCAGGGGCCTAGCTTGGTGTAAGCCTAAATCAAATTCGTGCCACACTTTACCATTCCAGTGACCTTTGTGAGTCAGTGAGGATCAGCGTTTATTTTATTTTATTTTTTTAAAATTGATTTTAGAGAGGAGAGGAGAGAGGCCACAGTTGCTGTTCCACTCATTGGTTGATTCTTGTATGTGCCCTGACTAGGGATCGAACCCACAACCTTGACATATCCAGCTGACACTATGTAACCAACTGAGCTACTCAGTCAGAGGCTCAGCTTTTGAGGATCAAGATATATGAAGGCCAGGCATTAGTTGGTGTATAATAAATGTTAGGTAACTTTTAAAAGTAAGCGATACATTTTTTTTAGTATATCTTTTTCTCATAAAATGTTTTGCCTAGTGTCTTTGGGTATAATTTCACCCGATTCCCATTTTTCTCTTTAATATACATTAGTTTGAATAAATTGTATGTGTTTGCTATCCTTATAGGCAAAAGGTGTAAGAAAGACACCTGTATGGAATTTTAATAATTCTCAAGCATTGTTAAATTAATGTTATTTTTTGAATAGGTAATACATTACATGGTTCAAAATTCAAAAGAATCAAAGTATATACAATGCAGTCCTAAGCCAGTTTATTCCCCTCCCCAATAACAGTGTTAGCAGTTTCTTGTGTATTCTTCCTGAGATATTTTATGCAGATATATGTACTTTCCCTCCCCTCTTCTATATGCATACACTATCATGTACCTTACTTTTTCAACTTAAGATTTCCAAATGACTAAATATAGAGTGACTGCATTCTTTATAATGGTTACATAGTAATCGAATGTATGTGCATAACCATCATTTATTTAATCTTTTATAATTGGACATTTAAGTAGCTTTCAATATTATTTCCTCCAAACTGAATAGCCTTATACATAACTCAGTTGTCACATCCGACATTTCAGTTCGGTTTTGCTATATACTTGTTTATAAGGACTTTCTATGCATGCTTTCTGTTAGTTATATTTATTTTGTGCACATAGCGATGACTAGAAACCAACACCATAAATATCTTGATTGGGCAATAAAGAGTTTTCTATTAAAAGCAACACCAGCCCTAGCTGGTTTCGATCAGTGGATAGCGCATTGGCCTGCGGATTGAAGGGTCCCAGGTTTGATTCTAGCCAAGGGCACATGCCCAGGTTGAGGGCTTGATCCCCAGTAGGGGGCATGCAGGAGGCAGCCAATCAATGGTTCTCTTTCATCATTGATGTTTCTAGCTCTCTCCCTCTCCCTCTCTGAAATCAATAAAAATATATTTTTTTAAAAAAAGCAACACCATACTGGTGGTTTTAGTGTGAGTACATTTTTAAAGTCTTGAGAGAAGGCTAAGATCATGTCTTGTGAAACATCTACTTTTCCAGTCAGGCTTTGCTGATTGGGAGAGAAATTAGTTTATTTGCGGTGGAAGTATGCTTTTGTTCAGTAATTTTATATAGACTACACTGGAATCTTCACTGTTAAGTAGGAAATGAGGGAAAGGAAGAAGTAAACTTTTTCTTAAAATATGCCAAATCTTGGATTTGGAAGGGACCTTATGAGCGTATCAGTGACTTTCTTAGCTTCAAGATTGTTATGAAAAGTGAAATTTTTAGGCAAAATACCTGCATTTCTATTCATTAAGGTGGTTGAGTTTGGATACTTTATAGAAACAACATATTAAACATTAAAATATTTTATATTTTGCCTCATTCTTTACAACAGTTATAAGAGGTAGGTGGTATTTGTCCTCATTGTACAGAAAGGGAATCTGAGGCCTGGCTGATGTGGCTTAGTTGAGCATCGACCTATGAACCAGGAGGTCATGGTTTGATTCCTGGTCAGAGCACATGCCCCGGGTTGTGGGCTCTTTCTCCTGTAGGGGATATGCAGGAGGCAGCTGATTGATGATTCTCTCTCATCATTGATGTTTCTATCTCTCCCTCCCTCTCCCTTCTTTGAAATCAATAAAAATATATTTAAAAAAGAAAAAAGGGGGGGTAATCTGAGGCTTAGGGAAATTGCATAATTTGCCCAAGGTCACAGAAAATATGTAGGGCCCAACATTCAAATTCAGTCCTGTCCAACTTATATCCATTATCTCAACTATTAAGCTAAGTTGCCTATCATTTAGTCTCTAACCTTGCTTGCATTACTTGTAAAATGGAGATGACATAGTACTTGCAAAAAGGTAATATCTGAAAAGTGCTTTATATAGTCAAGATAGGCAAAGTATGAAATAAAATATCAAGTTAACAGGGTAGAAGGTCTTTACTTCCACTTGCATCCTGATTTCAAATTATTCCTGTTTGCTGTTTTGACCCAAAGCCCTCGGTCCTATATTTTTATTTGTTTCACCAGCAATGGGACTGGGTGAAATGGTGGTCTCTTGGAATAAACTGCATGATCAGTGATGTTTCTGACCTCACCACTTTTATTTCATATATGCTCTGAGTGCCTACCTCCTGCACTGACAGGTTATAACAATCACTGTTCTTGGCTAAATTAGCTGACAGTGCATGGGGAACAAAACAGTCTGCCCAGCTAGCATGGCTCAGTGGTTGAGCACTGAACTATGAACCAGGAGGTCACGGTTTGATTGCTAGTGGAGGCACATGCCAGGGTTGCAGGCTCGAACTCCAGTAATGACATGCAGGAGGCAGCCAATTGGTGATGCTCATCACTGATGTTTATATCTCTCCCTCTCCCTTCCTTTCTGAAATCAATAAAAATATATTTAAAAACAAAAAACACTTGGGAGTCTGTTCTGAGAGTAGTAGTCTGTTTCCTATAGAGCTAGCTCTAAAAGAGAACTACGCCCAGCAACCAATTTATTTTCCTTTGCTTCAGGCTAAAGATGGGATCCACTGAAGAAGAAAGACCTGGGTCTTCAGCACCCTGTGTGCTAGCCCAGAAGTATTATTTGAAAGCCTCTGTTACATCTGCTGCAGACCCCCTAAACAAGTGGACTTGCATTTGGACATTCTCAGCAGGAATGGTTATAGGCTGATAGGACCATAAAGGGTAGGTACTTCAACTCTCAGTGCTCTCTGTCACACGTATATGTGTCTTTTCTATCGAAAAAAGATAGGAGGGCCCTGGCTGGTTGGTTGAGCATCATCCTGTGCACCAAAAGGTTTCTAGTTGGCTTCCCAGTCAGGGCACATGCCCAGAGTTGGGGTGAGAGACAGTCAATCAATGTTACTTGCTCTCTCTTCCTTTCTCTCTCTCTCTCTTTCTCTCTCTCTCTCATCAATAATACAGAAACAAAAATTATTTAAAGAAAACAACCCCTCAAAAGATAGGAGGTTTTGTGAGTTGCTGTAGTATTCCAAATTGCTAGACACACAGTAGGCACTGAGTAAAATTGAGTGGCAGTATAATTACACAGAAGCATCAGTTGATTATTAACAATTTTTATATATGTTCACATATATAAAATGAACCCTTTGGCCATGAGCTCCAGTACTTTGAAGCACTTCTTACAGGGAACAAAGTGAGTGGGTCGATTGTTTATGGGATATTTACAAAATATTTACTTTATACTAAGTAAATACTCGGTAAATGTGAAGTGGCCTTCATGTGGTAGAATGACACTTGCTGAAGCATGACTGGAATTTGGGAAAGGCATCACATTTGACATTAGGATTTATGTTGTAGGTTTTGTGCTATGTGGTAAGACCAAAGACCAGGCCCTTTGCACTCAGGATTTTGTGAGATGAGACAAATAGAGAAGTTGCACCTTTAAATCTATAATTATTCTCCTGTAAGATGTATTTGGATCATGGAGTTTGGAGGTGGACATTAAACCTATGGAAACCTCTGACTTTATGTCTTGCTTTCTGACTACGTTCCCTTAGCTAATCTCAAATGCTGCTGTTCTGAAAACATTTTACATAATTATAAAGTCTTTAACTATAGGACAGCAAAGGAATAAAATAACACTTTGATTATATCTCATTACATTCTAAAGCAAACCATCTTCTGTAGCTCTGCTTATTTCATGTTGAAGTGAAAATAGGGAGTTTTGACAGAACTGCATTTAAATCCTAGCTCTTAATAGCTAAGTGATGTTAGGAAATTTATTAAACTTCTCTGAGCCTAAAATTTTCTTATTTATAAGAGGTTGTTATAAAGTTTGGATAATATGGTTTCTATAGTTTTATCAGCTTACTTTAGTCAGACCTATCCTTCAAGGCACCACTGTTCAACAGAACTTTCTGTGACAGAAATGTTCTATATTTGTAATGTCCAATATGGTAACCATTAGCCAAATGTGGATATTAAGCAATTAAAAAGTGACTGACTGAAGAACTTTGTCTTTTAACTTAATTTTAATTTGCATGGCTGTGTGGTATAACATACTGGACAGTGCAGTTTTTAAAAATTGAGATCTAAGTGATATAACATTAGTTTCCAGTGTACAGCATGACTTGATATTTGTATTGCAAAATAAAATGATCATCATGGTAAATCTGGTTAAGATCCATCACTACCCCCAGTTATAATTTTTTTCTTGTGATGGAGAACTACTCACACAATACAGTATTGCTTTAAGTGCAATTTTGAGGCTCATTCAAGACCTACCTTTTTCTTCACGAAGCTTTCCTTGCCCAATGATTCTTTACATTACTTATTGTCTCTACCACTTAGTTGGTACTTACCATGGACATTAATTTTCATGAATCTTATCTCTCCAATTAGATTGTCTTTGAGGTTATGAAGTTTTAAATCTTTACATTGCTGCATGAAAAGGAACATGGAAAAATATACTTGTAATATTTTTAGTTAATAAGTTTTAAATAATTAAATGTAAGAGAAAAAATTTTCTAGTTAGTAAATGAGGTGAAGAATAGGGAATAGTCTGAAAGTTGCCTGCAGCCATGAACTTACTGTCTAGTATGCTTCACCTGAAAATTCAGATTACAGTCAAGCTCTGGAAGAGGAAATGAATTTCTTATATTGCCATCTTGTGGCCAACGTGGGCTTCAAGTGATGGGAATTCAATTTTGCTTGTCAAGGGAAGGTTTATTGTGATAAAAAGTTTACTAATAGTAACGGCTAAATATAATCTATATTGGCTCAAATGAAATTGAAACATGATTTGGAAAACTATTTTGGATTACCTTCTCATTTACCTGAATCTTAGCTTTCCTTCCTTTAAAAATTTTTTTTAAAGGGAGTTTTGTAAATGTAATGACTGGTTACATGTGTTCTGCAGTCACACACCCACAGGGTTGAGAAGCTGACAGTAACCCATGTCATTTTTACTTCATCTCCCTGCATTTGTTCCCATGACTGCCAAGCTCTCAGCCAGCACACGGCTCTTGTTTTGCATACCTGTTTACTTATTGAGAGACTGTTGGCTATTATAACCTTTCAGAGGATGGTTAGACTTATTTTACAGTTTTACCCAAACTTTGAGCATTTGATGGACATCCTGCAAATAGATGGGTCAATTTATAATAGTGAATGGAGATTTAAGTAAAAGAATGAGCAGTTTTCCTTGATGTAATTTTCTTTGGTGCTGTATGGGTGTGATTTGGTGTGGAATAGGCTGGTGTACATTCAAGTCTTGTATTTGTAACCTTTGTGTATTTTTTTAATTTTCCAGAGATGATGCTAGATAGTTGATAGATCCTATAGTTCAACTTCATCCTAGTTAGAAGCTGGATTCATCTGACATCAGAGGTAAGTTTGAAAGAAAAATCTTCATTTTTACCTCATTTGGATTTCCAATCACCCAGCAAGTTTTGGGTCTCGGTGTTTTTAGTGGCTGAAATTTGATAGTTGAAAAGGCCTTAGTTCTAACCTCAACAATGTTTTCCTGCTTTAGGGATAAGGAGCTGGTGTTGGTTTTCCCTTCACCAGTCATTTACAGTTTGCCATGATGAAATGCATGTTAAGTCCGTGTTTCAGCTGATTTTCCTGATTAAACACATGCTCTGAGCAGACTAAAGCTAGGGCAAACACCTGGAATTGAATTCTGCTTCTTGGGATACTTACTGGGATCTATCCCATGATCCCAAGTAATTCCTAAATCTTTATGAATTTGATATTACAATACTTCATTGTGCTATGATCTCTTGACCAAAAAAAAATCTCTCTGAGATAGAGAGAAATAAGATCAAGAATTTTTCATTAGTTGGTTGGATGTCATCCCCTGCACTGAAAGGTTGTCAGTTTGATTCTGGTCAGGGCACATGTCCAGGTCTCTGGATTCCAGGTGTCGGGTGTGCAGGAGCAGCCCATCAATGTTATCCTCTCACATTGATGTTTCTCTCTCTTCCTCTCCTTCCCTCTCTCTGTAAAATATCAATTTAAAAAAAAAACTTTAAAAAAAAAGAATTTTTAATCTAAAAATTCAAACAGTAGAGAAAAAGCACTGATAACTGGTATAATTCCATCAACCACTTAGCAGTTTTTAACTAATCACTATTTCAGTAGTCTATAAGATTAAGAGAATCCATGTGTTGGTTAAATCAATTTTGTCAAAATCATATAATGCAACACTATACAGTCACTTAAAAGTTATGGTACAGGTTTACCTTTCTTGAAATGAAGGTATTTATAATGCATTAAGTAAAAAACAAGTTACAGAGCCATACAAATAATCCTTTTCTGCTTAAAACATTTGTATGTACTTACTGAGAAATCATCTGAAAGGATATATTCAAATACTAGGCGTTATTGTCTCTAGAATTGGGTTCTATGGGTGATCTTGTTAACCTGTATTTTCTGATTTCATTATATTTATGTGCTATATAATTTTAAAAGTTACATTTAAGCAACCTATATAAGACAGGCTTGTATTTTTTACCTGTACCTGCATGTTTCAGCAAGGAAAGGGGGGTTCACATAAGGGTGAAAAATAGGAACTGCAAATAATTTAAACTAACATCAGCTCTTACAGTACTGTTTTAGCTTTTGGCTATGTCTTTTGCAGAAATGAAATTTCAGGAGACCAAAACTAGATCTGAGTTTCTTTATAGAAACTTCTTTCCCAGCCTTGAAACTTGGATGCTATGAGTCCTGGATATGCAATAGATGATGACAACATTTTCCTTTTATGGTAAGATTATGCTGAAATTGAGAAGCTTTGACATACATGTGAATCTTTGAAAATTCAGCATGTGACAAGGCTAGTTCTTATAAGGTGCTACAAGTTTAATTTTTAAAAAAAGTCAATTAAAGATGTTGAGAGGTGGCATAGTATAGTAGTTATATATGGGTTCTGGAGTCAGACTAGGTTCAAACCCTTCCTCTATCACTTAACCAGCTATGTAACCTTGGCAAATTTCTTAATATCTCAGTGTGTGTCTTTATATCTTAGAAGAAGATATTCCTAGTATCTGACTCAAAGGAATAGTGCTTGACTTTGAAGATTAAATAATAAGTGTGGGGCTTAGAATATTGTTAAGCATATGGTAAATGCTCAGTAGATGCTAGATATTTTATCAATGCCCATGTGTACATTTATCTTATCTTAGACTTTGCATTACCTGGCAATTTCTTATCAATATATATAAAACACTAATATGCAAATATTAGTAGACCGAACAGCCGAACTGAAGCATTCATTGTATATAAAAACTGCTGTTTGAAGTTTTAACCCTACTATTGTGGCTCCTGTAAATGCTTGCTTGCTTAAATAATAAGGAAAATAAGACTACTCCCATTCCAGAGAGGCCATAAACCTTCCCCAGACGAAGTTATCAGTGCTGGCACCAGGCCAGACCTTTGGTTGAGATCCCAAAGCCCCAGCACATAGGGCTCTTTAAGAACTTGCAGAGAGGGCCAGAAAATCCCATATTTGGGAGACAAAGAAGGTAAAAAGATATAAATAGGGAAACATCCTTCATGTTGGGGCCCAGAATTTAAAATATAGTTTTCTCTCGGCCTGCGCATAATAATAATAATAATAATAATAATAATAATAAAGTGTAACTCCATCTCTCTAAGCATTTCTTGGTTCTTCTCCAGTCTTTTGTAACAGAACAACCGGTTGCTATGATGTGCGCTGACCATCAGCAGGTGCGAGTGGAGCTGGCGCCGTCAGCGCCACATGGGAGGGGCGGTGGTGGGAGCAGGGCTGCTGACAGACAGGAGACTGGGGGCCACAGTGAGTGGGGCTGGGCGGGAGTGCAGAGAATGGGCCAAGACCCACCCCTGTGCCCACTGCAGCCTCACAGCCCACAGTTCCTTTCAAGGTGCATGAATTTGTGCACTGGGTTCCTAGTATCTGCATAAGAGGTTGTTGGAGATTCTTTGTTCACTGCTTATCTGTATCTTCCAATTAGCCTATCCCTCATTATCTTTTATCCGAAAGCCTACTTTAATTCTAGAATTAGAGTCAAAATCTGTGTATTCCTATATAATTGTTCCAGTAACATTTTCTTTAGTTGTTTTTGCCACTAATTTATTTATCATCGAGTTCCTCATTTTGCCTATCTAGCTGGACTAATTGATATTTAATGGTTCTCTGAGTTCTTGGCTGACCATAAAAATTTAGATGTAGTGATTCCTATAAGAGTCACTTGATGTTTTTAATAAATACTTCTTAGACCAGTGGTTCTCAACCTTCCTAATGCCATGACCCTTTAATACAGTTCCTCATGTTGTGGTGACCCCCAACCATAAAATTATTTTCATTGCTACTTCATAACTGTAATTTTGTTACTGTTATGAATTGTAATGTAAATATCTGATATGCAGGATGTATTTTCATTGTTACAAATTGAATATAATTAAAGCATAGTGATTAAGTACTAAAACAATATGTAATTATATAGGTGTTTTCGGATGGTCTTAGGCGACCCCTGTGAAAGGGTCGTTTGACCCCCAAAGGGGTCGCGACCCACAGGTTGAGAACCGCTGTCTTAGACCATTTATTAAAATGTTTGTTAAGATGATTGGAGATAAACTCTGATGGCTGTTCCTCTCACTGCTTGTAGCCTTAAGTAGTGGGATTTTAGTCCATCATATATCTAAGCTGACTTGTCTTCACTCAGAGCACCATGGGATGGGTTGGCTGTCCATTAGTGCCTTCTGATTTTTGCGGAGTCAAACAATTATAAGCCAGGTGGTAATGCTGGATTAAAAAAAATTTATCTGTGATTAATAAAAAAATTAATTTTAAAACATGAGGATATAATCTATAGAGAAATCTTTAATTGTAATAGTATTTTAATGACACTGATCTGGGCTATATGAGAAAGAGCTCTAGTAAATTGCTGAAACATACTATTCTGAAGCCATGCATTTTTAAATGGTTTACTCAGTTTTCTACTGAGTGATTGTTCACATATTCAGGGCAATAGTAAAAACTTTCTTTTTCTTTTGCAGTATGAAGGCGTAGATGGAAGCTGACTTTTCTCACCAAAAATGGCTTATAGAATCAACTTGAAAAACATGAGGCAGCAAACAAAGAGTAAAATATTTATTTTATCATCCTTAAATTCTTTGCTAGATTGTAAACTTCATGAAAGCAGGATAACTTCCCTATCCTTAACACCTGGTCTATAATAAATACTCAAAAAATAATTTTGAAGTGAATCAATTTCCATTAATTTTATTATTTTTTAATGCCTGGAAAGTGGCAACCATTTTAATGGGATTTCAGCGAGACATTTAAATAGAAAAACTGGGAATTAATTTTGACTCTAATGTAAACTGTATATATAGGTGCATTAAACTCTCTCGGTACTAGTGAGTCTACTTAAAAATCTTTTTTTTGAAATAAAAATTACTTATTGATTTTTATTTATTTATTTTATATTTTTATTTATTTCAGAGAGGAAAGGAGAGGGAGGGAGAGATAGAAACATCAATGATGAGAGAGAATCACTGATTGGCTGCCTCCTGCACACCCCCTACTGGGGATTGAGCCCACAACCTGGGCATGTGCCCCTGGCTGGAACTGAACCTGGGACCCTTAAGTTCACAGGCCAGCGCTCTATCCACTGAGCCAAACTGGCTAGGGCACTTACTGATTTTTAGAGAGGGAGGAAGGGGAGAAAGAGAAACATCGATTTGCTCTTCCACTTACATATACACTCATTGGTTGATTCCTGTATGTGCCTTGACTGGGTATCAAACCCATAACCTTGGCGTATGAGAATGACCCTCTAACCCAGCCAGAACCTAAAACTTAATATCTGATTATGATGTTTGATCCTTTAAGAGGCAATAAAGAATGGTTGTGAAAACTATGTATGTGAGGAATAGATATGCAAAAGCTTACTGATATTTAATGGGCAATCTTTTATTAACATTTTATAGCCTTATTAGATATTTATCTTTGGTTTAAATTGCACATACCAGTCAAGAATGGTTAAAAAGTCATTAATTTAAGGGAGGGGAGAGGTGGAAGAGGGCATAGAGAGGATAAATGATGATGGGAAAAAATAAAGTGTTTTGGTGTTTTTTTTTTAAGGCATTATTTCTGCTTTATATTTAAATAGAGGCCCGGTACATGAAATTCGAGCATGGGTAGGGTCTCTAGGCCTGGCCATTGATTAGGGCCCATCGGGGCCTTCATTCCGCACCACCCCCTGATGGCCAGCATACATCATAGCGAGCAATCGAATCCTGGTTGAACTACTGAGGGGACACTTTGCATATTAGATATATATATATATAATTTCTCAGTTGTTCTGGCTAAATTATAGTACAGGGAATTTTTTGCCCCATATACTGTACTTATATCCATGAGAATGTAACGTACATGCAAAGTGTGTAAAATACACATCCAAATATTGGAATTCTGCTATACTTCACTCTGGTTTGGAATATAATTTAATACTCATACCAGAATCACACACATGCAACTATAATAACCTGTTGGAATATGAAGCCTGTTCTTTAGAATGGATGATGCTAACAGTGTAATATTCAATGATACTGAGGGAAAAGTACTATCATAATATAGCTAATAGGTACTTAGAATATCTATTCAAAATCAAACTTCATGGTAACTAGCATTTTTGAAAGGTGAAAGTAAACCTGTGATTAAATGGTATAAGTTATATATAAGCACAAATAGTGCTGCCATTTTATCCAGACTCCTATGTTAGGAAAAATGGAATAAAGTTCAAACTTTAAAATTATAGAAAAGCAAAGAATATAACATTGGGATAGATAAAAGTACAAAAGGAATGACTGATTTGTGTATAGTAAAATTCAAACTTACGTTTGCGTGCCATGTAACTGACAAAAGATTCCATATAAATCAAGAAAATGATCAAATAATATGAGTGGGCAAGTCACAGATGAGGACCTTGAAAAGGTGTTTAATCTCACTAGTAAAGAGTTACAAATTAAAACATTGAGATACCATTTCACTGCCATCAGATCAGCCAATGTAGAAACAAAAAACCTGACACTTTCACAAGTTGATGGGTCTGGAACAATAGGATCTCATCTTTGCTGATGGCAAAGAAATTTATATTTTGGAGAATGGTTTGGCAACAACTAGATTTCTTTTAAATATATATATATATGTATATATATACATATACACATATATATATACATATATATATATTATTGATGTTTTTACAGAGAGGAAGGAAGAGTTAGAAACATCAAAGAGAGAAGCATAAATCAGCTGGCCCCTGCACACCCCACACTGGGGATATGCCCGCAACCAAGGTACATGCCCTTGACTGGAATCGAACCTTCAGTCTGCAGGCCAACGCTCTAGCCACTGAGCCAAACCAGTTAGGGCAACAACTAGATTTCTTGAAAATGCTTATACACTAACCCTGTCTTTGGGTATTACATTCTATAGGAATTCTTGGCCTGTATACTCAAGAAGACATGTACTAAAAGTTCATTTCAGTATTGTTTTTTATTGTAAAACTTAGGAGCCTATGTCCATTAGAAAATGGATAAATGGTGGTATATGTGTATATTTAGCTGTTAATACAAACTGTATTGACTACATTTCAAAAATGAGTTAAAATGGCCTACTGATATGTGCTATAAGATAGCCATTTTAGATCATGAAAACAAAGACTAATGTGTACACATACTAAAAACACGTATGAGAATGATAAACACCAAAATCGGGTTTTACCTCTGGAGAGGTATGAAGAAAATGGGATTGAGATGTATATAGGTGTGCCGAAAATTGTATATAATGTGTTCATTTAAATAGCAAAAGTGAGAAAAGTGGTCATTCATATATTTTTATGTGCTTGATGTTTAATAATAAAAAACAATATTTACAAAACTTTGGTGAATGGGTCTCTGTATCTCTGCCTTGATTTCAGTGGTCTCATCTCCAGAGCATCCTAGAAATAATCCAGGGAAGAATTTACGCTATGAGAACAGGACACATATTACCAAGAACCAGTTTAGTTCTTAGTGTTCCAGACTTCTGTGATATGAAGACTTTGTAGCTCCCATACTATATACACTGAGAGATAATATAGTAACTCACACAGGCTTTTAGCCAAATGGGTTGGAAGTTGGAAACAATGGTGTGGGGGACACTAGGTTTGGGAAATCTGTGGGATCTCAATGAAGTAGGAAGGGATATTGCAGAACAAAGGTAATGGCTAGGATTACAACGTTAGGTACTTGTGCTGGTGGAATTTGATTGCTTTATGTTTTATAACTTTAAAAGACACTGTATCCTTTTGTATTTATTTCTACATTTGGCATAGTCAAATCCAGAAAATGCACAAAAGGCTCAGATTGCCAAAATAGAAGTTAAGGGCTACATTTATTTTTTCCATCCAATTTGTACCACTAGAATTATCTCTGTAAATTCTCAGAAGATAGACATTGAAATGCATACAAAGGCTAAGATAAGCCTTTCCAGTTACTGTGAACAAGTTGCAAAAAAATAAAACAAAAAACTAGTAGGAAGTTGTTTTATTAGGATAGGTTTTTGTCTGAAGGAGATTTAGTAACATTCACAACCCGTAAAGGGTTTGCAGGACTTGGTGTCCATTTTGTTGCTGATTCATTGGATTGTGTGTCACAGATTCACAGTGGAGTCACATCACCTGGGAAGGTGGCTACAAAAGACAGTGTTAAGGCTTACATAAGGGGGACCCCTCAAGCCCTCCCCAGCTTAACTTCTAATATGAAGTCTAATACACGCATTGAGCAAAAAATCATAGCAGAAAAAAGGAAGTAACAGGTGAAAACATTAGGGCCCAACGGGTATACACTTTTTAAAAACCACACGCAGATCCAGGAGAGTACACGGGCAGATCACCTCAAAAACACCTGTGGCGCCTGATCCTATTGCTTCATTTCAAGCGTTGTAATGAATGTGCATAATGTGGACTCTCAACCAAGGAAAATTCTATTTAAGTCTACCGTACATAGAGGATGTGTAAAAGCTGGAAATACGTCTATTTCAAGATGGACAAAAATAAAATGGCAGAATCTACCTCAATGCGTAAGTGATAGCTGTCCAGTTTTAGGTATCACGATTTGGGGTAATTTTTTCTGAAACTAAGAAAGCCTGTGCTGCCCAGTGGGCACCCCCATATTTTCCCTGGATAAACACCTACTCAGAGGCGGCCCTGTGCTCCTCAACTGGCGCCCCCTGCTCTTACCCTCAGGAGCCTGGCATCAAATGTTACCCCAGGATGGGACTCGGGGCTGGTCGAGGGCACTAAAGGACACTCGACGACAGTAGGGCTCCCAAGTCGGAAACCTAGACCAGGCTGAGTGGGAATTGCGTCCTCACAGCGCCTGAGACAGGCATGCCTAGTGGGTGCGTGGCCCAAGTCGGTGTCACAGCGGGCAGGTCCCAGCATCCTGAGCGGCTGGAATTCCCGGCAGGCTCCCGGGGCGACTCTGCGCATGCGCTCTCGGCTGTAGTGGCGACGCGCGCGCGCGCAACGAATGCTTTCGTGTGCTGGCATGGTGGAGAGAACCGCGTTTTCCCGCGCTTTTTTCTCTTCTTGTGTCGCCTCAGCTTAGGTATGTCATTAGAATTATTTTCTGTGTCCAGCGCGGAAAGTCGGCCGAGAATTTCTGAGTGATGTTTCTGTGAATCCAAATCTCAAAAAGTTGGCCCTTGAACACTGGCCAGCTCGCTAAATTGGCTCTTTCCGTATCTCGTGGAGAAGCTGGTACTATCTGTGCCTCTCGCTCTTCCAGAACGGTCTCGGCTTCGCGACTGTTCCCAGCTCTTCTGCTTCCCCGCTGCCCATTACCCTGCGGAGGGAAAACAGGCCTCCTAACCGCGGCAGCCTGGCCTGCCGTACACCCGTGGAGACTCACGCTGAGGGCAGTGTCAGTGTCCTTGTCCACCCTGTGACCAATGCAGCATTTGTTGTTGTTGTTAATATTTGTCCATTGATTATTAGAGAGACTGGAAGGGGGGGAGAGACAGAGAGAGACATCGGTGTGAGAGAGATGGGCTGCCTCCCCCACGCCCCACACTGGGGCGGGATGGAGCCTGCAACCCAGGCACGAGCCCTTGGCCAGAATCCCACCCCGACCCTTCGGGGTGTGTGTGGGGGGGTGGGGGGTGGGGGAGAAACCACGCCCTAACCACTGAGCCAAACTGGCAGGGCCCAATGCAGCATTCTTGACAGTATTTGTCACTGGAGAAATGTGAACATTTTTTCTTGGCGACTAATTGGTGTATTATTATTATTATTGTTTTTACAGTTTATGACTTATTTTAGTGTATCCAGAAGATTTGCTGCCCTGTGCGGGTTAGTAAAATTCCAATAAGAGTGAACACTATATTGAAAAGTAACTTAAGAGTATATTTAGTTTTACAGATGTTTTAAATGGAAGCGTAGCGTGGAATAGTATTTATAACCGGCGAATGTTGATCTCATGATAAACATACCTGCGTTTACGCAGTTTTTCGTGCTTCGTAATGGTCCATCACTTGGGTGGATGAGGTTAGTTTCCAGTTAATAGTATCAGGTCACTACCACTCTGTAGGTGAAGAACCTGAGAAATCAGCGTATATGAAAAACCTCAAAGCACTTTGCACTAAAGGATGGCCGAAGGCAGTTCCTGAACTTTCCTGCCTACCGAGTGTGAGAAGTAATACTGAAATATCCTAGCAAACTAAGAATGGGGAATAAATTGGGATTTTTGTGTATGTGTTAAGGAATGACAATAAGCACTAATTTATTTATTTTTATTTTATTTTATTTTTTAAAATATATTTTATTGATTTTTTACAGAGAAGAAGGGAGAGGGACAGAGAGTTAAAAACATCGATGAGAGAGAAACGTCGATCAGCTGCCTCCTGCACACCCCCTACTGGTGATGTGCCCGCAGCCCAGGTACACGCCCTTGACCGGAATGGAACCTGGGACCCTTCAGTCCACAGCCGATGCTCTATCCACTGAGCCAAATCAGTCAGGACGCACTAATTTAATTTTTTATTTGTACTTTGTAAACTTTCCCCCCAGGTACATACTATTTTTTATTTTACTAAAATTTGGAACCACCTGTGTCTTAACTTTTCCATTAAATTTTTTTCAAGGCCTTTGTAGTGGTTTGCACAAAGGAGCACAATTAATATGGCTAAGTGATTAAAATCAACACAATATATTAAATGTAATAAATGCAAAAACATAAATGTGCATTATTATAAAATTAAAACATGGTTTCTTTGTTATTTATTTCATTTTCACTGCAATTTGATTTATTTGACCTTTTCATTTCCTGCTTATTAGGATTCATTTCAGAATCTGGGACCTCACTGTATATTATGTCTTTGTGTGACGACATGCTGCTTTGTAATTATCGAAAGTGTCGCATCAAGCTCTCTGGTTATGCGTGGGTCACTGCCTGCTCTCACATTTTCTGTGATCAGCATGGCAGCGGTGAGTTTAGTCGTTCGCCAGCTATCTGCCCAGCTTGCAACAGTACCCTTTCTGGAAAACTAGATATTGTCCGTACAGAACTCAGTCCATCAGAGGAATATAAAGCCATGGTACTGGCAGGACTTCGACCAGAGATTGTGTTGGACATTAGCTCCCGAGCACTGGCCTTCTGGACATACCAGGTTAGTGCTCAGGCTAGTTTCTTTGGAGAGTATGATTTGAGGTATATGTAGAAGTTTCTAATGTTTTTCCTTCACTTGTGTTTGTATTTATTTTTTAATGAATGTATGGAAAACTTTCTTTTTAATACATTTTTTTCTTTAAAACTAATATATTTATTGTTGAAAATCCAGAAGAAAGAACAATTTAAAAAACCATAATTCCGTCACTCAGAGATAATTATTGTTGATATTTTGTGTATTACTACTTTTATGTGTATAAATATGTATTTTATATATAAATATATATTTTTGTCTTTACAAAAAAAGGATAATACCACACATACTGTTTTTATGGCCAGTTAAAGTTGATGATATATTATGCCTATTATGAATATTTTATTAAATATTTTTAAAGTAAGCATTATGTAATTATTTCAATGATTGCATTGTATCATAATTTATTTCCAAGTTACTAAAAATGCTTTGATGAGCATTATTAATATCAAATTCATGTCTTTAATTATTTGCTAAGATTAAATTCCTGAGGATAGATAAATCAATTTCTTTTAAAAAAATGTATTTTATTGATTTTTTACAGAGAGGAAGGGAGAGGGATAGAGAGTTAGAAACATTGATCAGCTGCCTCCTGCACACTCCCCACTGGGGATGTGCCCACAACCAAGGTATATGCCCTTGGCCGGAATCAAACCTGGGACCATTCAGTCCGCAGGCCGACGCTCTATCCACTGAGCCAAACCGGTTAGGGCTAGATAAATCAATTTCAATGTTCTTTAAATTGCAGTATTTAAACAATTTACACATTTTTTTTTGTTAATTCTCACCCAAGGATATTTTTCTTTTTTAAAAAAATATTTTTATTGATTTCAGAGAGGTAGTGAGAGGGAGAGAGAGATAGAAACATCAATGATGAGAATCATTGATTGGCTGCCCCCTGCACATTCCCTATTGGGAATCATGGTTCATAGGTCAACACTCAACCACTGAGCCACACCAGCTGGGCACCAGAGGATATTTTTCCATTGATTTTTAGAGAGAGTGGAAGGGAAGGGAGACAGAGAGAGCAACATCGATGTCAAAGAGACACATCAATTGGTTGCCTCTTGCACGCACCCCAACCAGGGCCAGAGATAGAGCCAGTAACCGAAGTACATGATCCTGACCAGAATCTAACCTGGGATCTTCAGTCCATGAGCTAGGGCTTAAAAAATATTTTTATTGATTTCAGAGAGGAAGGCAGAGGGAGAGAGAGAGATGGAAACATCAATGATGAGAGAGAAGCATTGATTGGCTGCCTCCTGCAGGGCCCCACATCAGGGGTTGAGCCCGCAACTCAGGAATGCACCCTGACTGGGAATCAAATGACCTCCTGGTTCATAGATCGATGCTCAACCACTGAGCCACGCTGGCTAGGCTAAATTGCCCTCAAATTAGGTTATATCAGTGTGTTCTATTAAGAAGTATATGAGGGTACTTGGTTCTCCATACTTTCGACTTACCAATTGGGTATAGGTAGATTGGCTGTGGGAGCACACTGACCACCAGGAGGCAGCTCCTGCATTGAGCATCTGCCCCCTGGTGGTCAGTGCACATCATAGCAACCGGTTGACCAGTCGTTTGGTCATTCAGTCCTTCAGTCACTTAGGCTTTTATATATATATAGATTAGTCTGTGGCTTATCTTTTATTCTCTTGACATTGTCTTTCATAGAGCAGAAAATTTTAATTTTAATGAAGTCTAGCTTATCAATTCTTTTGTATATTTTGTCTTTGGTGTTATATATACTAGTAAAAAGTCACCACCAAACCCAAGGTCATTTAGATTTTCTCCTATGTTATCTTGTAGGAATTTCATATTTTACATTCAGGTCTGTGATCCATTTTGAGTTAATTTTGTGAAAGGTATAAAATCTATGAGTAGATTCACTGTGACCTAAGTATATTGCTGGCTATTGCCCAGAGTCTCCTCTCAGTTACTTGCCTTGTTGGCCTTCCTAGTATGGCTGCATGCTTTCACAAAGCCAACAAGAGAGAGTGTACTAACAAGACAGATCTTATATTCTCATGAAGTGACATCTTGTAATTTTTTTCTGTGTTTTAGTTACAGGTCTCCCATCCACACTCAAGGAAGGGAATATACTAGTAAATACCAAGAGACAGGAATAATTGGGGGCTATCTTATAATCTGTTCTTTGCACTATGATTTACTTAAAACATAGGATTATATTTCTTTTTTTTTAAAAAACCATATTTTTATTGATTTCAGAGAGGAAGGGAGAGGGAGAGAGAGATAGAAACATCAATGATGAAAGAGAACCATTGAACAGCTGCCTCCTACACACCCTCTACTGGGGATCAAGCCCTCAACCCAGGCATGTGCCCTTGACCTGAATCAAACCTGGGACCCTTCAGTCTGCAGGCCAACGATCTATCCACTGAGTCAAACAGGCTAGGGCAGATTATATTTCTTTTTAAAAAATTTTTTATTTTTCAATAAATAATAGTTTTTATTAGTAGATATAGTATATTCCTTCTAGTTTAACAAAAAAGCATCATCATTCCCCCTTCCTCCCCCTCCCACCCCTAATCCCAATATAATTTTTTTTAAATATATTTTTTATTGATTTTTTACAGAGAGGAAGGGAGAGGGACAGAGAGTTAGAAGCATCGATGAGGGAGAAACATCGATCAGCTGCCTCCTGCACACCTCCTGCTGGGGATGTGCCCACAACCCAGGTACATGCCCTTGACTGGAATCGAACTTGGGACCTTTGAGTCCGCAGATCAATGCTCTATCCACTGAGCCAAACCGGTTAGGGCGCAATATAATTTTTTAAACTTTATTTTATTGTTTAAAGTATTACAAATAGCCGAAACCGGTTTGGCTCAGTGGATAGAGCGTCGGCCTGCAGACTGAAGGGTCCCAGGTTCGATTCCGGTCAAGGGCATGTGCCTGGGTTGCGGGCATATCCCCGGTGGGAGATGTGCAGGAGGCAGCTGATTGATGTTTCTCTCTCATCGATGTTTCTAACTATCTCTCTCCCTTCCTCTCTGTAAAAAACCAATAAAATATATTTTTTTAAAAAAAAAAAAAATAAATAAAGTATTACAAATAGTAGTACATATGTCTCCTTTTTCCCCCCCATTGACCTTCCCCCAGTCTCCCCTACCCCCCGGTACATGCCCTCAACCCCCATCCCCTATGTCTTGCGTCCATTGGTTATGTTTATATGCATGCATACAAAAAATTTTTGGACTACATGTCATTTGTAAAAGTTAGACAAATGCTTACTTCTTTTGTTGGTGTAATGGTAGTGGTGTGATAGTATTCCTCCAGATTTTTTTATGCATTTAGTTACATAACATATTACTTTCTATAATAATCATCCTATTGTACACCCCGATTACTTCTTAACATGGTTCTAAATGTTAATAATACCCCAGGATAATCATCTTTCTTTTCTTTTTGCATTTGTAAAGTTTTACAATATATAAGTTTATATTTATTACCTTAAAAATCTTTTTTTCTCATCTCTTGGGACAGGTACATCAGGAGCGTCTCTATCAAGAATACAAATTCAGCAAAGCTGAGGGTCATCTGAAGCAGATGGAGAAGATATATACTCAGCAAATACAGAGCAAGGATGTAGAATTGACCTCTATGAAAGGAGAGGTCACCTCAATGAAGAAAGTGCTAGAAGAATACAAGAAAAAGTTCAGTGACATCTCTGAAAAACTTATGGAGCGGAATCGTCAGTATCAAAAGCTCCAAGGCCTCTATGATAACCTTAGGCTACGAAACATCACTATTGCTAATCAGGAAGGTAACTTGGAACCATCCATGATTTCCAATTCTGGTATTTTTGGCTTCCCATTAGGTAAGGAAGGACGTATAATTACCTAATATTTGTTCTTTAAATCAGTGATTTTTCACATTGTGTTCTGCATGGCTCCAAGTAGTTAGTAGAGACTCCAAAGGCTGAGAATGGTGATAGGCTCTAGATCAGGGGTGGGCAAACTTTTTGACTTGAGGGCCACAATGGGTTCTTAAACTGGACCGGAGGGCCGGAACAAAAGCATGGATGGAGTGTTTGTGTGAACTAATATAAATTCAAAGTAAACATCATTACATAAAAGGGTACAGTCTTTTTTTTTTTTAGTTTTATTCATTTCAAACGGGCCGGATCCAGCCCGCGGGCCATAGTTTGCCCACGGCTGCTCTAGATTCTTCATCCATGTCTCATTCTGTACATCATTTATCTATTATATTAGTTTATGTTTAAGTTACAGCTTCAATTTGAACAGAAAGTAAATATCTTCAAAATAAAATTTCACAAATTGCTACTTTAAAGGAAAAGCTATTTAGTTGCAGTAATAATAATAATATTAGCTGCCATTAATTAATTAATTATTATTATTATTTGTTAAATTGATTTTTAGAGAGGGAGGGAGGGAAGGAGATAGATAGATAGATAGATAGATAGATAGATAGATAGATAGGTAGATAGGTAGATATCAGTTGCCTCCTATAAGTGCCCTGACAACTGGGGATTGAACCCACAACGTAGGTAGGTGCCCTCCGGGAATCAAATCCATGAACTTTTGGTGAACAGGGCAATGCTTTAACCAACTGAGTCACATCAGTCAAGGCTAAAAATGTATTTCATTGTGTCAAATTACTTTTGGTGATGAGGTCATGGCTGTAATTGGAAATTGCATCACAGAAGAAGGTACAGTATTTATACTGTGGTCAGGGGGGAGGGATGGGGACCATCATGGTCCTTTTCTTTATTTAACATTAGGTTTATATTTTATTTGTCTTGTATGAATTGAGTTCTGTTAAAATATTTATTGAATGAATTTTGTCTTTTTGGTTTTAAAAATTTGTAAGTAAATAGATGCTTAAGTTTTCCCCTTCTTTCCCCCCTAGGGAACAAATCCAAGTTTCCTTTGGACAGTACACCAGTTCAAAACCAGGGTGGTGGAGACGGAGATTTTCAGTTCAGACCATTTTTTATGGGTTCTCCCACAGCACCTGAACCCAGCAACAACTTTTTTAGTTTTGCATCTCCAAGTCGTGAATTAGAGCAGCAGCAAGTCTCTAGCAGGGCCTTTAAAGTAAAAAGAATTTAATGCACTTTACAAAATGTTTCTCTGTTCACTTTTAGTGATTTCATTTATCAAATAATCTTTATTCTAGAAGGAGTCACCAACCTCCCTGTGCTACTAAGTTTTGAAGTTGTCTTCACATATTCAATTTTTAAGAAATTGAGTGGCCATGAGGAGTGGCTTTAGAGTCTGGTTCCTTTTTCTGTTTTGATTATTTAAAGCATGAGCATTTTATTAAATTCAATTTCATTGTCAGCTGTTGAGTTTTTACCAGTAGTAGGAAGGTTATAATATTATAAGGTGCTTTGTAGATCACAATTTGTTTCTGTCTGGGCGTTTCTGACTGAGCTATATGTTTATGCATATGTATAAAAGCACCTGTGTTATATGTCAGCATGTCATTTTGGAGTTTGGTATTTATGCATATATGTATATGCATGTTCCTTTATATTGATATTTTGCTGTATTTTCCAGTATATTTATGAGAAGATTTAGTTCTCAGGAAATGGTAATGTATGTCTGTAGTTTGTTATTTGGGTGTATACATTTATTCCTATATATTTACATATTTGCCCTTGCATTAACTTGTTTGGAATGTATGTGCTCATTCAGTGAATGAGAGTATAATTTGATGTACATATGATCAGTTCTTATTTCTATTTAAAAATAATTTACATTGATAAAAGTTATTTTGTAAAGTTGAGTTTTTGCCATTTATTTAAAAATAAAATTATTCCTTTACTGTTTTGTCAGCTGTTGTCTTGGGTTTATTTATTATTTTTTATTAAATATATTTTTATTGATTTCAGAGAGGAAGGGAGAGGGAGAGATAGAAACATCAATGATGAGAGAGAATCATTGATTGGCTGACTCCTGCGTTCCTCCTAGTGGGGATTGAGCCTGCAACCTGGGCATGTGCCCTTGACTGGAATCAAACCTGGGACCCTTCAGTCTGAGGTTGACATTCTATCCACTGAGCCAAACCGGCTAGGGCTTGGGTTTACTTATTTAGTAATGCACTTCTATCATAGAAAACTTACAATATATTAATCTCAAGAGGTTATATTAATTACGATACTTTAAAAAATTTAAAATTGATTTTAGAGAGCAAGGGAGACGAGAGAGAGAGAGAGAGAGAGAGAGAGAGAGAGAGAGAGAGAGAGCGCGCGCGCGAGAGAGAGAGAGAGAGAGAGAGAGAGAGAGAGAGCACGAGAGAGAGAGAGAGAGAGAGAGAGAGAGAGGGAGAGAGAGGGAGAGAGCGCGCTCATGAGAGAAGGAGAAACTTCTGTTGCCTCTAGCACTCACCCCGACTGGGGATGGAATCAAAACCTGGGTATGTGCACTGACCGGTAATTGAACCTGCCACCGTTTGATGAATGGGACCAGTCTTCAACCAACTGAGTCACACCAGTTAGGGCTAAAATACTTTTAAAAATGTATTCCCTGTTTTCCTTTATTAAATAGTGAGCATTTTTGACAGATAAGTTATTTAAAATATAGACCACAAAAGAAATTTGAAGGACACTTTCAGTAACTATGTCCTATTAGAGGCAAGACTTGAAATCATACTGGTTGGGGAGATAGAATGTCTGGGTTCTAATTATGGCCTTTTTGGTTATGCACGTTTGAGTTTAAACTTTCTGGGCTTTTGTTTCTATATCTGTAAAATGGGGGATTGAATTTGATTATTCAGTAAGCCTTTTGTAACTATCAAGTTTTGTGATTTATTTGTATTGGTTTGGGGAGAATTATAATGAAATTATACTAAATGTTAAATCCCATTGATTTTTAGGTAATAAATCATACTGAAATAATTTGAGGATTTTTTTTTGTTGTTGTTAATCCTCACCCAAAGATATTTTTTTCCATTGACCTTTTAGAAAGCTGAAAGAAGGGAGGGAGAGAGAGAGAGAGAAATATTGATGTGAGAGAGACACATAGATTGGTTATCTCCTGCGTGGGCCCCCAGTGGGCCAGGGAATGAACCTGCAACTCAGGTATGTGCCCTTGACTGGAAATCAAACCCATGACCCTTTAGTCCCAGGGCCAACCCTCTAACCACTTAGCAACACTGGCCAGGGCAAATTTGATGATTTTTTAATATTTAGTCATTATAGAAAGGGGAGTAAATACCCCTTGCTTTACATAATTGAATAGAAAGCAATTTAGGAGTATAGACTAAAATCTCTTCAAAAATATCTATTTTATTAAAGTTTAATTGACATACAATATATTAGTTTCAGATGTACAAATAGTGATTTGACATTTATATATCTTACTAGAGGCCTGGTGCACCAATTTGTGCATGGGTGGGGTCTGGTGGCCTGCCCTGATCTGGCCCATTGGGCCTGGCTGGCTGGGGAGAGGGGACACAGGAGGTTGGCCAGCTGGCCCCGCCCTTGATGGGGGGGGTTGGGGGAGCTATCGGGGGTGGGGTCAGCGGGGGGGGGGGGGGAGGGAGGGGCCTCTAGCGGTTTAGAGTCTAAAGTGCACTTTCCTTTCCACTAAATACTGAAGACTTTAGCTCTAGTAGTTTCCCCTGACCAGAGCTGAAACAGAAGATGTCTCCCCAGAGCAGAGTGGAGCAGACCAGCACAGGCCACAGCAGATGGGCACAGAGCAGAGCTGACTAGGAACGGAGGAGAGCTGTCTAGCTGGAGAGGGGCCTGGCTCCAGGACCACCTGGCCCCAGGACTACCTCACAGCTGTGCCATGCTCAATTACAATTGAGCTGTTTTGCACTGAATAAAGTTTCCTTCTTTACCACACCCCAAATTGGGGATTCCTGTTGGCATTGAATTGGTGCCAAAGACCACTTGTCTGAGAAAGAGGATTAAAAATCCTGACTTAAGCCCTGACTGGTTTGGCTCAGTGGATAGAGCGTCGGCCTGCGGACTGAAGGGTCCCGGGTTCGATTCCAGTCAAGGGCATGTACCTTGGTTGCGGGCACATCCCCAGTGGGGGGTGTGCAGGAGGCAGCTGATCTATGTTCCTCTCTCATCGATGTTTCTAACTTTCTATCCCTCTCCTTTCCTCTCTGTGAAAAATCAATAAAATATATTTTTTAAAAAAAATCCTGACTTAAAAGTTTTAAACCCTGGCTGGGTAGCTCAGTTGGTTCGAACATAGTCCCAATATGCCAAGGTTGCAGGTTCCATCCCAGTTCAGGGCACATACAAGAATCAACCAATGAATGCATAAATTAGTGAAACAACAAAGTGATGTCTCTCTCTTTCCTCTCTCTCTAAAATGAATAAAGTTTTAATATGTCCCTATTTTATAGTAATCACACAGATTTTACAGATTACAGTACAAAGTATTTTTCTTCCATACACAGTTTTTAAAAATATATATTTTTATTGATTTCAGAGAGAGAGGAAGGGAGAGAGAGAGAGACAGAGAGAGAGAGAGAGAGAGAGAGAGAGAGAGAGAGAGAAAGGTAGATGTGAGAGAATCATTGATCAGCTGCTTGCTACATGCCCCCCACTAGGGATCAAGCACACAACCCAGGCATGTGCCCTGACCACGAATTGAACCATGACCTCCTGGTCCACACTCAGTCACTGAGACAAGCCAGCCAAGCTCTGCCTTGAACTTTTGTTTCTTCCTGTAGATTCACAGACTCAGTCTGGAATACAAGTAAGCTATAATTAAAACTAAACAATAAAGAGAAATTTTTTAAGGACTATTACATGCAACTTTTAAAATAGTTACTTATTATTAAAAAGTTTAATATATTCACATGGTACAAATTCAAAAGGTACAGAAAAGGCACCTGTCTCCCAGCCACTGGCTCCCCATTTCTGGAAGCAGTTATTGTTGCCGGTGTCTTGTGTCTCAGAAAGAGTCTATGTGGAAGTAAGTAATTTTTTAATTTAAAAATTATGCTTATTTTTGAGTAACTAATACATGTACATAACAATAAATTCTAAAGTGTACATAGTGAAATTTTCTTTGCCTACCAACAACTCTCAGTCCCCCTATTTCCTTCTCCAGAGACATTCATTGTCTCTTATGTACCCTGGATATATAGTCTGTCAATAAGCATTATTAGTGCACTAATATCTACACTAATAAAAGAGAAAAATGGTAATTGGCGTACGGCGATACCGTTTTCATTGGCTAATCAGGGCTATATGCAAATTAACTGCCAACTAAGATTGGCAGTTAACTGCCAACAAGATGGCGGCTAATTTGCATATGTAGGCACAATGCAGGGAGGCGAAAGGGAAAGCAGGAAGAAGCCCCCTGCCACTGACAGTGATCGGAAACCCAGGGGGGAGCTAAGAGCTGGGGGGCAGGGCAAAGGCGGCCCTGGGGCCGCCTTTGCCCTGCCCCCCAGGCATGGTTGGAGAATCAGGCGCCTTTGCCGCCCTGGCCAGTGATAGCAGGAAGTAGGGGTGGAGCCAGCGATGGGAGCTGGGCATGGTCGAAGCTGGCAGTCCCGGGAGCTAGGGGTCCCTTGCCTGGGCCTAAAGTGGAGCCCACAATCGCCGGGCTGCTGCAGCTGTGGGTCCCCACTGCCCGGGCCGGACGCCTCGGCCAGAGGCGTTAGGCCTAGGCAGGGGTGGAGCCTGCAACCGCGGGGAGCTGGGGATCCCCTGCCCAGGCCTGACACCTCTGCCGGAGGCCTCAGTCCTGGTCAAGGGGCCGATCCGGTGATCGGCGATCGGAGGGTGATGAGGGTCAACTCCTCTGGCCGAGGCATCAGGCCTGGGCGGGGGGCGGAGCCGGGGATTGGGGGGATATGATGGTCCCCTTGCCCAGGCCTGAAGCCTGGGTCAGAGGCATCAGGCTTGGGCGGGGGGTGGAGCAAGCGATCAGAGGGAGATGGGGATCCCCTGCCCAGGCATGATTCCTGGGCCAGAGGCCTCAGGCCTGGGCGGGGGTCAGAGCCAGTGATCGTGGGGAGATGGGGGTCCCCTGTCCAAGCCTGACACCTCTGGCGGAGGTGTCAGGCCTGGGCAAGGGGCCGATCAGGCGATCGGGGGGTAATGGGGGTCTATGCCTCTGGCCGAGGCATCAGGCCTGGGCAAGGGGCAGAGCCAGCAATCGGAGGGGTCTGGGGGTCCCCTGCCCAGGCCTGACGCCTGGGACAGAGGCATCAGGCCTGGGCTGGGGGCAGAACCAGTGATGGGGGAAAATGAGGGTCCCCTGCCCAGGCCTGACGCCTCTGTCAGAGGCGTCAGGCCTGGGCAAGGGGCTGATCCTGCGATCGGAGGGTGATGGGGGTCAACGCCTGAGGGCTCCCAGTATGTGAGAGGGGGCAGGCTGGGCTGAGGGACACTCCCCCCCCCCCCACACCCAGTGCACGAATTTCGTGCACCAGGCCCCTAGTACTAGTATATTAGTGATGGCTTTCCTACTACCCCAAATGTAGTAGATTTATTAGGATAGTGTGTTCAAAATGATAAAGCTCCTCATTCATAGAAAATCACTGTAAAGGTGTACTACATTTCCTTCAAATTTTAAACTTGTAACACAGGCATCTACTCTCAACCTGTCTTCTTTTGGGGGGTATTATAATCTGGGCATAAATAAGTAGGAAAAAACGAGACAAAAATATACAGTACATGCAATTAGCCGAGGACAGATTGTTTCTAGGATTTTGGAAATGAAGTTTATGA